GTTCAACAGTTACGCCAGAATCTTCATTTCAAAAATAGCTTTTGTACAGTTCAGTTGGATAACATGTGGATCTTACATCACCACTGCCTAAACTCTGGTCATGAGTAGGAGTTTCCAAAGTGCACAGAAAGCCAGCTTTAGACATGCAGGTCATTATAACGATGCAAGTCATATGGAAAGTAAAAATAATATTGGCATGGCATAAAACTGACAGTGAACATAACTGATGAGCTTTGAACAAGTCTGAGGTGTGAAAGATTGGGGAAAATAAATCTGTATAAAATCTAGTGAAAACTTAAGTCCAAAACTAGAAGGCAGCAGACACTTTTCAACGTGCCAACATGACGTTTATTACACTGAGTCACAGCAAATTCCACTTATGTTCTTTTATGTCTTGATGACTTCCGCATCATTAAAATGACCTGAAGAATTTTAAATTGTGACTGAGCCATTAAAATGTACGCACATGTGTGATTCCAGAATAAATAATTAGCGACACCAGAACAGCGCTTTCATTCTCTTGAAACTATGAATGGTGTTTTAATCAAAACAAAGTCAAGGCCACTGACTCTTCAGTAACTTGGAATAAAATAACCTGTGTTTAAGCAGTACTGGTTTATGGGTAAGATTCCCTGTCCTACACGAAACTTTAGAGCCAAAACACAGTGCAGAAATATCCCAAAAGAGAAAAAATATGACAACACTGGACAGCATTTCCTGCACACAGATTTTAGGCCAACCAAGTATATTTGGTGACTAATTTTTCCTTTTCCATATGTGTCTCAGTGAGCACCATCATTACCAACATGGCTGATTTATTAAGAACAATTCTTATCATTCTTGTTTGACAAAATCTGTATAACAGGGTGCTAGGTTACCAACTAATGCTAGCATGCTTCATTAGCGGGCTACTTACATAAACTGCACGCGTACAACAAACACACTTATATCTGCTAGCACAGCACAGACTAAAATATTACTCACCAAATCCGAAGCACAAACTTCTTAGACGGGCTGTACTTTACAAGAAGGCACATTATTTATCAAACAATCATATGAAACAACCAGAAAACACACCAAAAGGTAGTGAAGGCGAGATGTATCGACTACAGTTCTCTGTATCAGAAGACATATCAATCAAGAGGGTCATGCCCCTACCACCAGTATGCTGATAATTAGAAAGCCTTACACCACCCAGTGTAAGGTTTATGCTACAGATGCCTCACAGCTGCTTACCAAAATCACTTTTTGTATTTCTGCAATGTTAATCCACCTTTATTCTTTTTTATTAAGATGCCAAATTAGTTTAGTTGAATTCCTGAACAGAAAAAAAAACTGTTTTAATGGTTGAATCTAATGTTTGATTCACTTCTGACTTCTTCTCTGATTTGGATATAAAAATATGGATAATAAATAATATTATGTTTTTACTTTTTTTAACAAGTTTTTGACAAATATTAATGTTTGCTGTTTTTATGGTCTAATACATTTGTTAAGCACTGTATACAAAAATCCATCCACCATGGAGTTATTATGAGGGGGAACTATAGAGGCAATTTTAAATGTATCTTGCTATCTAATCACATGATTCACGCATGTTTTGGTTTTCGTTACAGCCACAGCTAGTCTGTCACGTTATCACCATCTCAGAAACACTTGTGTTTTGTTTTGAGTGCTTTTACAGCATTTTTCTATATGCAGGCTTTTTCTTGAATTGCAGTGCATTTGACCTCTCAGTGCCACCATTGGGTTGGCTTGTTTTTGGAGTCTGCCTCCAGTGGCTATTTGAGGAACTGCAGATATTGGGCATTTAAGCCTTTTCAGCCCCAGAGACGGATGTTTAGCACACAGTACACTCAAGTGCATATAGCCCCACTCCTCCTATTATCCAGCAGTGTTTCCAACAGAATGTCAGTCTGTAGGAAACAATTCGGGACGTCAAATTCAAAGGCCTTGCAGACAACCTCATAGTTACTAGTGCAGCTATTAGACATTACCAATCTGTTTCTCAATGTCTGCAGCCTCATCTGGTGTTGCTCTGGGCAGGATGCCGGGGTCGGTGAAGCTGGTCTGGAGCAGGGTGATGAGCACAAACACAAAGAGGACTCCTCCAATAACAGGTATGAAGCTGGTCAGGTGTTTGACCAGGAACGGACAACTGAGAAACAAACACAGGCAGGGGTAATTACTAAGGCACACTGGGAAAAGACGCAGACAATGTTCTGTCACATATAACTGAGCCTACCTTCTTCTTTTCTTTAACTCACTGATGGATCTAATTTTAATTAACATTCAACTCTTTTAATTGTCATAAAACTCCCAGAAGACTGAACACATTTTCTCTCTACTGTGGCAGAAAGAATCCTGTTTCTATTATTAAGCACTACTTCTTAAAAATGTGCACTTAGCTTCAAATATTAAGAAAAAAAACATTAAGAATAAACATAATTGCAACACACAGGTTAAAACAAATATCGATACAGTGCAGGGTCAAAAATGCGCTTTGGTCAGTATTTTTTTGTTTTGCTTTGTTTTTTTGAGCAATCTGCATCATCAAATATCATCCTGTTAAGTCCAGCTGTATGTTAGCGAGTCTCTTGCTTTTGGAAAAAACAAACAAACAAACAGACAAACAATATAAATAAATCAGATTTGATGCGCCAGACAGGGCTCAGTTCATTAAAATATCAGCTTAAAAGCAGCTTTGTATCATCTGTGGACAACTTTTGGACGGAACTAACAATCAGTATTACAGAACCATATAATATAAGACGAACTCACTCAAATATAAAAAATAAACCACTTGTGACGAGGATGAGACCCAGGGTAAGGGGAAGGACCCCACTCTGTCGGGCCACTATGATCCGTCCATCGCAGTAGAAGCGATTCTTTCCGGGGAAAACTTCCCACTTTCTCCTGGGTCTTCTCGGCTCCTTCTTCTTCTCCATGTCATTCCCATGATGAGGCGGAGGGGTCGGGGTGGGCGTCGGAAGTGCTTGCGGGTCTATTTGTTGATACTCGCAGTTTTTCATTGTTTATAACGGAGTCTGGCCGCTCTGTCCTAGTTCGGACACCCGGTGCATTTGTCCATCGACCGACAGCATCACCGACTCCCGTGTACTTTGAGGTAGCTGAAAGGAGCGAACGTCGTCTTTCCAAGGAGAAAATAAGCTAATCCCACACCGAGGATATCCAGCTGTAAATAACCACGAGACCCCGTGCTCGAAATTACATATCTGTTTATCCTCATAACTCCTAATTTATTATTTATAAAAGTTTATCTCCAAAAAGACAGCACAAATTCAACCTATAACACAATGACCATCGTTAGCTTCTTAGCTTTCCCATTCATCCTAGCAAGCTCATCCAGCTGCGGAGTTATTTAACAACAGTAAATCCAAAGTGCTGTTACCACTGCTAGCTTGTTAGCTTCCTCGACTTATAGATTATTGCCGGCTTTTATGCTAAGCTCCGGCGGTCCTTTATGAGTAAATGACGTGTAACACAAAAACTTTGTTATTTTTAATGCATATCGCTCTACTAGGAGGAGTCCTGACACATTCGTGACTACCTGCTGTTTAGCTACGTTGCCATAAAACGAGCCGTGTTGTCAAAGTAAACGCAAAGAAATGTTGTATTTCCGGTTAGTTTTCTTTCTAAATAAACCACAACATTCAATATTATATTTTATATACCATAATAATAAAAGTTATACAAAAATATTGGTTAAAGATGTACTTTATTTACTCGCACTGTTGTTACTAAATTGTTCTCTCAAATATATGTAAAAAAAAAATATCAGTATACTTTCATGTGGAATATCCGGTAATTCAATGACCAGTGTAGGTGACTTGACGCTGGTTCACAGAAAAGGACAATAACCACCGGAAATGTGTTTTTAAAAAAAAATAAAAGTGTAAGAATTACCTTTTATAATGGTAGGCTGGGTATAACTGTGTTTTAACTGTTGTTGTTTTTTTTTTATCATTGCCTTCCTGAGAAAAGTTAAGACGCCCGTGATGCGCTATTATCGTGCAAGATACAAAATTACATTGGCAATTTGATGTACATTTTATTTTGTGAGTCACTTACAACCGGAAGGCCAACCTCTGGCTGTAGCTACCTGGTGCGCCTCTTCTACCTTGACGCTCAGGTACACAGATTTGGTCGAAAACTTTGTTGAAACTGGCGTTTTGGGGCGAAATTCATACACAAAACGTTCGAAATGGATTACAATAAATAAATGCGAACCATAAAGTGGAGAATCAGGCATTAATTCGGGAGACGGCCGGTGGACGCACCGTGTAAACTGTGAGTAATGTTAGGTGAGAAAGTCCTCAAATGGAGGAAACTGCCGCAATGACAAGTCGCCATGAAAGTGAAAATAATATTTGTATTTGAGACGAAATTCGAGCTCATATGTTCCTAAAGTTACCGTCAAATCGAGTTTGTGATTAGATAAAGACAAAACCGCAACACTATAGTCCCGTTTGACTTGTTTTTTTAAAAGCTAAGTCATACTGTTGATAAATGTCCAGGCGTATATCGTCACAACACAGGTTGCCAAACACTGCTGAAGAATTGCTTCATTGGGAGTTCATTGTCGTTTTCTAATGTAATAAATAAATACAAATGTAAAATAATTATAATTTATAATTACACTTTTTTTTTAATTCGGCATTCATTCGTCTTTACTCAGGTTGTTTTAATGACTGGCGAAATAGCCACACTTGTCGTTAAATTAATTTTAATGATCCATATCCATATCCACAAAGTAGCCTTCATCATTGTTATGTGTTCTTAATGAGTAAAAGGAAATAAAACTATATAATTCTGAAATGAATATATGTGTGAATCACCAGGAAAGTGAACTCATTGGAGTTCCAATGAGTATTTTGTGATCTCCATGACACCATGCAGTATATTTGATATAAGAACGGGTAATTGTGTTTGACTGTGTGTACACATACTCCGTAAAACCTGTTGGGCTGCATTACCTGCCACCTGCGGATATTAGTTTCACAATTGTTTTGAAGAGAAATGCCCTCAGGTGCTTAGGAGCACACTTATTTCCTGCTTGACAATGTGGATTTATGAGAAGCGTTTTGTTTAGCTATACTATTTCAACCCTGTCTCATCATTTAATTGAACCTCAGATGACCTCAATGTTTTTCTCATTTTTATTCTTGGATTTTCTGATGCAGTCAATCATGTCTGCTGGCACCTCCAGCAGCCTTACGCATGGTTCAGGACGTGGCGCAGGCCACAGGCTTCAGTCCAGCCGGAGCAACAGCCAGGGGTCGTCCTATGAAGAACGTTGTGTGGACCCAGTTGAAGACAGAGCACAAAACCCAGAGCCGAAAGGAGTCCACAAAGCTGACCTGAAGGATGCTAATGGCAGACAGTATGAGACCATTGGCTTCATTCCTGGCTCAGCTGAGCCATCCACTGCAACCCAAACCTGCAATCCATGCGCTTCTCCAAGAAGCTGTAGGACTTTTATATGTAGCATACTAACTTGCGGCCTGTACAGGGTCTGCCAGAACTCCATCCTCGCTCCATGCCTGGCACCAAAGGAGAGTTCACCAGATGAACCAGAGAGTTTGAGTCTCCAAGCTATGAACTCAAGAGACAACAAAGAAGAGTACACTGCAGAAGAACCCTGGTTGGAGGATCTCCACATTGCTGGAGTCAAAGTGGACAGCACAATAGAGTATTTAGGTGCTAAAACCAATCCTCCCACTTTGCCATACGTGCCACCTCCTGGTGTTCAGACACTGCCGAGCCACCAGTCGCTGCATGAGTCTATAAGGATTGATGACTGGGAGGATGGGGAGGAGAATGTGGACTCCCTGATTACTAAGAAGCTGCTGGAGCTTTACTCTGAATATCAGATTGAAGAACTGGCCCGGTGCACCTCAGACTCGGTGTTCCTGAAAAAGAGCAAGGCCATCAACCAGCTCATCAACTCACTGGCTGAGGAGCATAAAATGGATGAGCAGGAGGCCGAGTGTCGCCTAGTGCGTGGAATCATCCGCATTAGCACTCGCAAGAGTACGAAGAAGAGGCCGCACATCTCCAGGAATGAGAGGACACTGTCGGACAGCGGAAACGAGACGATGAGGGAGAGCGAGTCCTTTTCAGTGAGCAACAACAGTAAGTCCTGACCGACTCCTTTAGTACAGAAATATCAGAGTTCCTGCCGGCATCTAGGAAATGCTTCAGTGCCATCAAGTAACAATCTCATTTTTCTCTGTTTACCTAAGATGACTACAAGTCAAATCCCAATATCCAGATATCAGATTTGACCTCCTCTGATCAATGTGCCAGGGAGATTTGGAGGAACAATGGAGGTAAGAAATCTGCACTATTCTGCTTTGTTGGAAGTCTGTCCTAAACGAGCTATTCTGATAAAGTCAATTTATTAGACTAGCTCCACTGTACAATAGACGATATAAGCCATTCAGTGCCAGTAAATAGAAACTGCAAGTAAAATCCGCCACTCTGCTGAGAGACATTGCAGTCATGGTGTTACATAACATTCTGAGTGGTTTATTCATTATCAAGACTGATTATAGCTGCTTCAGTCACCATGAGGTTACATATATGAGGCCTGCTAAGGCTCTTCTATGTACTACTTACTATATACTAGAAGTAGGATGTGGGAGGGGCACAGGATTCAATTCAATCATTCAAGTTTTCTTTACATTTATACTTTCTGTAACTTCTTTGTTTTAGAGCTTTTATGGATTAAAAAATAATGTGCATCAGTGAATGTTACAGTCACACTTTGTCACATATGTGTGAGCAGCTGTGCAGTTTCATCTCTCAGTAAGTTAGGAACAGACATCTGCTGTTTTGCACCGGTCAAAAAGTAGCTTTTGGAGCAGTTGCGTCATTTCTATTGAGTTGCTTCACTCAGTTTCAGTGAGCGTGGAGCCCCTGCAGGTGGGGCACTGACAACTAGGTAAACAGTATGAAGTGAAATTACGTCAGTATTTAAGTGATTTTCCAAATTATTTTGAACCCTTTTTTTTGGTTATGGATCATAAAAAAATATTATTGGGGCATGAACGTTTTGAAGCAGGACATGCCAGAACAGGTTTGAGAACCACTGCTTTACACTAACAGTTCATCTGTGCACTTTATGACTGAAGAAAATTTTTAAAGAAATCATATCAAACTACAAGCTACCAAACATAAATTACACTGGCAGTGTGGTTGGATTATTTAGATAACCAAAAAAAAAAAGAAAACTAACATTTGTGATTTTTGACTAATCAATGTTTTTCATGATCTGGCTTTCACAATTATGTGTTTTTGTCACTAACTGATAACTGAGTTGAGGCAATAGAAAAGATTTGTTTAGAAATAGGTTAGCACTAAGTTAAATGTTTACGAAGACTAAGGAATACGTTGTGTTTTGTTTTGTTTTTCTAAAAGCATTTAGCAATGGGCAAAACTAAGATTGACATTTTCTTACACCTTTGTTTCCTTTCATTCTCTTTTTTTCATGGCCTAATTCATATGTAATTAAGTTTGTTATCACAAATCAAATAAAAGGGAATCAGTGGGAATTACAATTGACCTTGTGCATGAGAAAATGCTAACTTCCTGGTTTGAGACCGGATGTGGGGTTGTACATTTCCGGTAGCTTTACTTTGCGGTCAATCGCTACTGCAAAGATATTCTCCAAAATCATGTCCAAAACTCGAATACGGAAAGATCGCGTTAAGTTACAAAGAGGAGAAGGTGGGAACACTCACCACTGTTGTGTCATAAAAAATCTAATGATCAATTTTGACATTTAAAGAGTTTAGATCGATCAGTTGTTTACATCACTCAATACAAGCAGAACTGCAGCAGAAGACACATTGTCCACATTCAGAAGCACATCTCTGTATAGTGACTGGTCTTATGATTTAAACAGGCAAATGTTCAGCATTCAAACTACAGGTGAAGAATAGTCAAACCAGATGTTTCCCCGTTATGTTGATATCAGCTAGTCAAGTACACACCTACACAGCATGTTAACAAACCGTGAAAAAAGCCACACAAAAAATGAATGATTGCTGGTAAGGGTTTCTATACAATAGTATGTACAAAGGGTATGTTGTGACTTACCTTCAAAATTACAGTGGTGCCTCGCTATAACGCGGTTCACCTTTCACCTCGCTGTTTCGCAGATTTTTTAGCGCAAGTTTGCATGCTTTTTTTTTTTTGTTTTTTACGTCACATTGTGTCCCGCGTCCTGATCGCTGCAGACGATCTCCTCCGTGACGTCTCTCCTATACAGTACAAAATCGCTGCATCGATCCTAGCAGTGTGACTCTGAAGTGCAGTGCTGTATGTCCACGATGTCCACGAAATGTTTTGCACCACCAAAAAATAAAATTGACTACTTGATTTCACCTATCGCTGGTTATTTTTAGAACATAACACCCGTGATAAACGAGGGACAGCTGAGAAATATAACATTTGAATCCATTTTCTCTTTTGCTCTGAGGCGCGGGGAAAAAATATCGACAAGTCGATGAATATCATTTACAGATATATTGGGTAAATGCCCAAGACATCTACAGAAATGTAAATTGCCACTTGATTCATTCA